TGCTGTCGTTGTTGCACAGCAAAAGTAAATAACGGTTGCTACAATGGCACTCTGTGCATTGCACCAACAAGTTTAATATTATTTGAGCTGCATTCATGATATTCACACCGACAACTGGCACCGATTACCAACAAGAAGCTTAGCAGAGTGGCCACTTTTCTCTATTTTATTGACTTTTACTTACATGTATATTCATTAAAATTTACTTCTTCATACATTTTTATACTCTTGCAACATATTGCTACAGAGTATAATAGTCTTGTTCGCCTAAATTTTGAAAATGTGTGCGTGGCGCCCTCTAATAGGTTTAAAGCACTAAAGCTTTAATAACCAAATTCACACAGGGAAAATATTTTTAGCACCCCTACCGATGGTGTAAAAATGGGTGAAATCGGATGATAACCATGTTCACTTCCTATATAACTGTTTTAATTAAAACTACTAACATTTCCACATTATAGTGTAAAAATGGGCGAAATCGGACTACACTCACACCTACTTCCCATATAACACAATTTTAAGTTCTATCTGATTCTCTTACTTTCCAATATGCAAATCAAGCAAAATAGAATTTATCGGGATACAACTATGCACGAATAATGCCTTTAAAGTAAGCCCCCTTACGTGCAAAAATTGTCCAAATCGAACCAAAACTGTTCCATCTCCTAAGTAACGAATATGTGGACCCCAGTGCATATAGTTAACTTTTTACCGAAAATATGGGTCAATGTGTGAGATATATAATTGAAATTCAGAGAGGATGCTTTCCTGCTCATAGTATGTCTGTATGTCCAAAATGGACTGAATCGGATCAATACTTCCCTTAGCTCCCATATACCTAATATAAAGATTTTCGAACTTCCGGGTGCCTTTACACCGCATACATATGTATATCAGGCAATATGTGAGTTATTTCAATGAAAACGCGTTTTAATCATAACGAAGCATCTTTGTATCTAAAATGGATAAAAATAGGCGAAAACTTGTTCTAGCTCCCATATAACTAATTTCAGGATTTTCGAACATACGGCAGACTTTACTCCATTTGATTGGTGATGGTATGTGATGTACCTTAATAAAATCTTGGAAGCAAAATATTGGTCTGTGGCATGGTAGTATGTGGTATTGGCAAAAATTTATCAAATCGGGTCAATACAACCTCAACTCACATATACTATTAAAATGATTTTCGTTATTCTAACAAGTTTTATGGCGAATATGTCGGCCAAGTATTATTTATGTTATATATTGCTTCAAATAAGTTATCGAGTATAACTGAGAAATGTCAAAATTAATCCCTCTCTCTATCGCCAATATACTTTATAAAATGATTTCCGTCTTTCCACCGGATTCAGATTGGTTTAAATGTGTGATAATTGAGTGAAATTAAATGGACAAGTTTTTTTAAAAATTATGTGGTTAAATATATTATGGTTTACATTTGAAATGTCTATACCTTGGTCTAAATCATATATCCCTAATATTATATAATGAATTCCTATCCTCTGTTTGACGTTTTGCACATCAACTCAATATATGTATATTAAATTTAACCTCTTCGGTCAAGTTTATATCACATACATGCAAGTATATCTCATTTGAAGATGTTTTTAATATTATATAATTTTAGCTGACGCGAAGAAAAATATAGCAATAAAACTGAGTCTAAGTTTCTGATTTTTAATATAAGTCAAGAAGATACCAAATTTGTTTTTAATTTATTCACGATTTCATCGATTAATGAATGCTAAATTCTTTTACAATATTTTTTATACTCTCGCAACATGTTGCTACAGAGTACAATAGTTTGGTTAATATAAAGTTTTACCAGCAATTGAAGAAATTTCCCGAACTTTGATTCTTGCTACTTGCAAGAGTATAACATGCTCGTTTACTTCTAAATTCAGCCCTTCCTTACTTTTTATTAATTTATTTTTTATTTTCGCAGCGCTCGGTGACTCACAGAACCATTTATGACCCACTTGACCATCACTCGAATGACTTGAGTATTTGCCTCCGCACCGGAAGTGTTTGCCTTACACCGCACTTGGCACAGTTTGTTTATTTAAATTTTGTGTATGCTTTCACTAAGAGTTGTTAAATAAAATCTGCAGTTTTAACGGCTATTAATAACGTGCAGCCTCAAATTGTTATTTGGCTTATGGCGAATCGTGGGTAAGTACCGCTAAATTTATTCGGGGATTTCTGCGAAATATTTATATATGTGAGACAAGTCATTGACTGTGCAGAAGAGTGGGAAAAAATTTTGATTATGGAACTTATGTATGAATGTCTATATTAGGGTGAGCAAAAAAAGACTAATTTTGAATTTATGGGTAAAAATGAACGTAAATAGAGAGAATAGAATATAAAACGTTAACTATGGTGACATCGTGGCTATAATACCCTTCACAGCTGCATTTCTAATAGCAATAGGGTATATAATAATCTAAAGCCTAATTTTTATCTGTCAGTTTGTACGACAGTTGTACGCTATTGTCGTCCGGTCTGAACAATTTCTTAATTTCTTCGGAGATAACATTGTTGCTTTGGGCAATAACATGCTAAATTTCGCGAAGATGTCTTGTTAAGCAAAAAAATGTTCAATAGAAGAACTTTTCATCAACCAGTTTGTGTGACAACTATATTCTATAGTGCTCGGATATCGGCGATTCCAACAAAGGAGCAGTCTTTTGGGGAAGAAAGGACTTGTGCAAAATTTCAGATTGATATCTCTGAGGGACTAGTTCGCGTATATACAGATAGACGAACAGACGCACGTGTCTAAATCGACTCAACTCGTCATGTTAATAATTTTTATATATATTTCATAGGGTCTCCGACTTTTCCTTCGGAGTATTACAAAAATCGTGGCAAACTTAAAACATACCCTCTTCAGGGTATAAAAATATTTCTAAAAGGCAGTATTTGTAGCAACATTTTAACGTATATGATTCAAAGTTTTCCATATTTGTAAATAATACGTAAAAAATGTGTTTTCAATAAAAACATCACGACGTGTTTAGGTAAAAAAGAATTTGCATTACAGTTTCATGTAGAGCTTAAAATTTACAAATAATCTACCTTAGTGGGATTTTTTTAATTAAAAAATTCGTATATTTAAATACTTTTAAAAAGTCAATTCTTACTCATAAATTCTTAGTCCGATTTTCGGCTCTCCCTAATATATAAAGGTGTATATGTGTTAGATGATGAAAGATATTATAGAATGGATTTCATACTTAAACAATTTTTCAACGATTTCAAAGAAAGCTGTACACGTTTGGGCTTCCTAAATTTTATAAATTAAATATATAATTAACTGCAAATTTGTTTTTGTTTGAGGGACATTTATTTTAAATTTATAAAGATAAAATTTTATAACTTTAGTTAGGTACACAGATTTTTAGCACTTATTTCAAGTGTATGAAAAAATATTCTTCGGAATTTAAGGTTAGATGTAAGGGTATTCAAATCAACGCACGCTTAGAAGACCCTAGTAATGCTTTTCAACCAATTTAAACCAAAATATTGTAATTGCAATTTGTAAAATTTTTTATTAATATAATAAAACCCAAATTAACATACTATACACCGCTATGCGAAATTGATTATAAAATAAATTTTGGCATTCTTCGTGCGGTAATCTAAAAAGTCTTATATTGACCCGATTACATAAATTCATCACAATAGCCCTAATCCCAACAACGGTCACAGTGAGAGACCTTACCCATATGAATGTATACAAAGTATAACAATATGGATCTTGTCGCCAGAGTGTTGCAATATTTTATAAACGTTACACTAAGAAAAATTTAGCGGAGATAATACAATAGTATTCTTCAAAGAAGTCATGATTTATGTACTATAAAGTCTTGCAATCCTAAAATGACTATAGCATGAACAATTTATCGGAAAAAGTTGTAAAGAAGTAGATCAACAATGACATTTGAGCGAATAGACAGCGTAACAATGAAAACCCTGCGATCGGTTTTAGAAAATAATTTTCTAACCGAGCGACTCTGCTAGATTCTCCAATAAAATGTCAAAAATCTTATTAATGAAAAATTAGTATCAAGCGACTCGGTAAGAACCAGCTAACGCTTTGAAGGCCAAGCCAATAACCAAGTGCTGCTTTAGGATTAAGGCTTTTCAGCGGAAATGCCAGTAAAGGTCACAAGCTCTTAACAGCGTTACAGTTTTGGTGCGGCGTATGTATATACCAAGTACCAGATGAAAGTCAGGAAAACTTTTTCTAAGTGCATCGTATAAAACTGAATTCATTTGAGAAGAGATATTTCTTCATTTTTAGTTACGAAGATCAAGGAAACTTGAGGTATTTAGCTAGTCAAAGCATATTTAAATAAAGTTTAAAATATCAGCGAATTTTATACAACTATTCAAAATGACAACAATACTTAATTCTTTTGAATAAGAAGTCTACTGACTTTCGTACTTGGCGCAAACTCACATAGGACGGTGCTATATGTATACTTAGCTGATCATTCGTCCCGGTTTGGCCGGGACAGCCCGGATTCCGAGCTTAGAATTAAAAAAAATAATGAATTGGAAATAAAAAACCGTCCCGGATTTTGCCAGGACAAATATGGTCACCGAACTGTATACACTTGGCTACAGTACTTGTAATTTTTTTTTTAGTAAGGAACGAAGGGTGAGCCGAAATTAGCATTTGTATTAAATGGAAAATTTTATTTAGCTTTAGTAAAGTTGTGAGAAGATCTGTAGGGAGTATGTAATTTACTTAGTTGTTGAGTACGAAAAACGGAAATTGTTAGTTCATTTTCCGGAACTTATTACTCCTAGCACAAATTGCTACACATTTCAAGTTAACTACATTAATTTGCTACAACTGCTGTTCATATTTAAATTACGCTACGCTTTAGGTCAATTAAAAATCTTAAAATACTACATATTGTACATATATACTATATAAATGACCAACTTAACGAAAAAAGAAAGTAATAAAAACAAAAACTTACGTCACTAGAAGCCTTATAAATTTGCGCTTAATGGCTGCTCGTTGAAACTCATTAACTATCTAGCTTACTTCCTCTTCCAACCGTTGACCGCAACATACACATTTAACACGAAACACACAGTTATACTGGCTATTTGCTACATATATACACACACAGACATTTATCTCTATCCATTTAAAATGGAAATTTCCAACCGATATCCCGCAATCAGCGCAAATCGGTGCCGTACAAGCGGCCACCATTGCCACCTCTAGCACCAACACCACCACCACCACCAGCACCAACGGCATCGCCATCATCACCATTTGTATACTCATTAACACTGCCATTACGACTCTCATAGTCGTCCTCGCCCTCATCCGTCGCATTGGCGTAATCGCTGCTGCCACCATCGTCCAGCAGCGTCACCTTCGGCGGTGGGTGATGATGTTGCGCGTGCTGCTGCTGCTGCTGTTGTTGTTGTTGGTAGTGATATTGCTGTTGCTTTTGTGGACTTTGCGTACACTGTGGCGAACATTGTGTTTGCTGATGGTGTTGTTGATGATATTGTTGTTGTTGCTGATGTTCCATATACGCCGTTGAATTCTCCATCTCCAGCAATGCACCACCGCCGCCATCATTGACCGCAATCGTTATATTACAACCACTTGAATGATGCACATTGCCGTGACCAGCATTGGCGACGGCCGCTGCCTCACGCATTTGCTGCGCGGCCAATATTTGTGCAGCGCGCGCACTCAGGTTGGGTGTGCGTACGCCGGGTGGCATTTGCGCGGACGCCACACTAATAGTGGGCGGCACATTCAACGCGGCGCGACTGCCCGAGTGACTGCCGCTGATGCTGTCCGTGCTGCCGACGCCACTGCTGCTGAGACAATGATGCGCGCCGGTGATATGGTAGGGCGCCTGCGTGTGATGTAATTGTACACCGTTATGCATGCCATCGGCGCCAGGCAGATGTTGCGGCGCCAACTGCAGCGCGTGATGATCTTTACATTCTGAGGGAAGAGAGCGTGTAAAAGCATAAAGAATGACATAGAGAGCATAAAAGTAAGCAAAAGCAAAAGTATGTGGCATTTTAATTGCAAGTTGTTGCAAGTCTATGACCTTACCTAATGGCGCTAACAGCTTGGGTTGCAGTGGTAACATAAAGTCATGTCCCGTTGTGGCGGCGCGCGGCTGCAAACTCTGTACCGGCGGCACGCTCAAGTAATCCGCTAATGATTTGAGAAAAGAGAAGACGTAAAAAAAAAACTTAGAAGACTAGAAGAAGTAACTGTTCTATATAACTTATTGGTGAGTAGTAAAAGTAAATTAGTAAAATATTATAAAATTTAGTGAAAATTCTTTCTAACCTCAAATATTACAATATGAAGAGAGTAAACGAAAGATTTCAATGCAAAAGTGACTGCAGATATTTTTTTTTATCTTTTAGCAACAACTAAGTGTGTATATATGCTTAAATATTATCTGTAACATAATTCTATTAATATTCAAAATTTTATTAAATATTTATGATATATTGTATAATTGTATGCAGTGAATATATAAAAATTGATTTATAATATGTTATAAACAAACATTTGCAATGCCATTCCATATATACGCATGCATAACTAATTACAATTGTAACTACTTACCTATTCGGAAACTATATAGATAAGTAACCACTAGAACGCCATTATAGCGTATAGAAATTACAGTTTAAGCAAAATGTAGATTTTATAAAAATATTCAAAAAATTCTTTTCATGAAAAATGTTCCTCTTTAATGCCAAAAAACTGGAAGTTATTTGAATGTCTAGCTGTTATCGAAAAATCGATTTCGCTCGAAAAAAAACTTAAGGCGTGTTCAGAAAGGTTATTTTTTAAATATTACTGTTGAAGTTATGTATGGCAATGTTTAGATTTTAAAACTTTTCTTATACTTTTAGATAAGGTAAAATGAAATCCATATTTTTTCCAATAGATAGCTGCAGTTATATGTAACGTTATATAACCGCGATCAGGTAACGCTAAATGGCGTTAGAAATATAAGATTTGGTACTAAAGAAATTTCTCACACTGTTTTGTGATTGCTTTAATCACCGTTTCGTAATCTTGATGTCAAAGATCTACCACACTCTGGAGTACCAGTTGTCGAAAATAACGATAATAAAATGAAAATCGTTGTCTTTGATTGCCATGTAAGCACTGCTTTGATTGTCCAGCAGCCAAACATTGCACAAAAAACTGTTGAAAACCAAAAGAAGCTTGATCTATGGATGCCACATGAGTTACAGCAAAAAAAAACCTCATGAACCGAATTTCCATCAGCGAGTCGATACAAATCGTTTCATTTCTGAAACGGATGACTACTGCTGATAACAAGTGAAGCAATTACGATAACCTCAATCGGAAGTGGTAGTGAATAGCAGACAGAAAATCGTCTACTATGAGCTGCTGCTCTAAAGCCAAGCTCTTAAATTGGACCCATACCGTCAACAAATGGATCGTCTCAAGGTGGCAATCGCGCAAAAGCCACTAGCATTAGCCGATATGATGGGAATTGTGTTCGATAAGGACAACGCCAAGCCACACACATCGATAGTGACTCGCCAGAAACTCCGAGAGCTCGGTTGGAAGGTTCTTATGCATCCACCCTATAGTCCAGACCTGGCGTTAAGTGATTAATTCGATGTTCTGTTAATTTTTATGGGACTAAGGCTATGTGGCTGTGTGCTATATCATCCGATTGTATATAATGATAGTTGAAATGGAACCAATAAATTGGTATGGGATTATTAACTCAGATAAGACTGGTCATGACATAGAACAAGATTCGAATTTGAGTAAGAAGGATTTGTTATGCCTTTCCTAGATTTATACATTACTTCCAAGAATTTGTATAAAATATTTAAAAATGTTGCAAGTTTAACTTTTTGTGTAACTAGAGGGTACTTTCTACCGGCCAGAGCTCTAAATCTGCGATGAGAGAGCGGCAAGCTTTAACTTCGCTTTCTTTTAGCATTTTGTACATAATAATATCACAGCGAGCGAAAGATGTTGGGCTTATGGTGAACGATGGCAAGATAAAGTACCTTGGAACTATGTCATTGTTGGCAGCTATAAATTTCATCAACGTGAAGGACTTTGTCTATCTCGGAACCACCAAAAATACCACGAACTACCTGCGCCTGGAGATCAAGCGCAGAATAACTAATGCCAACAGATGCTACTCTGGGATCAGCAAGCGATTAAGAAGTAGATAAATCTCTCGACGAACAAAAATTACGATCGATAAGACTCTTATCATATCCGTCCTATTATATGGCGCAGAAACATATACGATGACAAACCGAGATGAGAAAGCATTTGCAACATCCGAGAGAACTGTTCTTCGCAAGGTCTTTGGATCCGTCTGTGTGAGCGATAAGTACCGAAGTGGATGGAGGAAATGTAAATATGAGAAAGAAGTAACATATGTATGTACAGAAAAAAGTCACAGGGAACCAAATCTGGTGAATACGCTAGCCGCTCTCGTTTTGTGTTTGGCCAAAAAAACAGTAACAATCATGCTAGAATGTGACGCCACATTCAGGTATTTTGCTACAAGTCTAGCATTGACACACTTCATACCAAAATGGTTGAGTCGATCCATAAGAAATTTTGTGATGCTCTGGTCCATGACGATTTTCAAGCTATAACTTTTTCGATGTTATCGTCATTAACATAGGTGGATGGAAGATTCGCGTGAGGCAAGTTTTCGTTGATTTCACGACCTTCACTGAACGCTGTGTGCCATTCAAATACTTAAGTTCGTGATAAAGCAGACACCCCAAAACACCTCTGCAACATTTTTAAGGATGCCGTGATAAAAATCGACAGACAAACTCTACGCGTCGAAAACAAACAGCTGCTCAACTTAGACTAATTGAGAAGTGAGGATCAAACATCACACGAACATAAATAAAGTTGTACAAATATAGGAAAAAAATGTATAACTGTTCGGTCTCTGCGTGCTGTTTATATGAACCAGCTTGTGTGAATTGATCTTGAGTTGAGACGAGCCGAATTTAATGAAAAGTTGTATAAGTGGAAACAATTGAAGTCAGTTGCAGTTCGGTCGCGTTGATCAAAGTTAATATAAATCAACCCAATCTTAAACTAGTTTTTCGAGTTAATTCACATAAATGAAGCAAAACAAATCAAGTTATATGGAATCACGTCAAATTAAGTAATTGCTTCTTTCTTCAATCTTCAACTGTTCTCGCGAAGTTTCCAAGCATGCTTTTGGCTAAAAATAAATTAACACAGCTTAACAAAAAAAAAGAGACGGCAGTAATTGCATTTCCTGCAAAGTCATTTCGCCATTGCTTGTAAATCATTTGCGCATGCATACTTAAATTGTTGTAAAAATAAGGAAAAACAAAAACAAAAATAAATTAAAAAAGCAAAAACAAATGCAAACAAGTTAAATAAACAGTGTTAATGAGCCAAACCATGTCGAAGGCAGCTGAGAATTCTCCGAAAAATCACGATTCAGTAGCGGTTCAAGAAAGAAAAACAAAAAAGAATTTGAATAAAAACAAAGCGTGAATAAATACGAGTGCAATAAGCAAACAAACATTGCGGAAATTAGTAAAACTGGGCAAGAATGCAAATAAGCCGAAGTTGGCCGTACAAAAGTCAACAAGCCACAGAGAGGGGGGTAGACAGAGAGCCACAGAAGATTGGATGAATACAAAGAAGAAAAACTGACTGCTGCTGGTATTTTGTTGCGAGCTAAATAAGCAGAAAAGGCCAATTCAAAGCGAGAAAAAACACAAACCAACTAATTAAGCCATCAACAGAATGACGGCAGTAGGGACCGTGTTGCCAGAGAAAATGTTCAAACACTTGCATTTTCACTTTGACTTCTTGCTATTTGCGTTATTTTTACGCTTCGCTTTCTTCTCTCTTTCTCATTGCTATTACTTTATTGTGGCGCCGCAATCATTTGTACCGCACATTTATCACGTGACAGCAACAATATGTTGCTGCCGGCATGCCACACAGTTGGAAGTCATATTTGTCAAACACAAAATGACTAGCGGACATCTTGTGTTGTGTCGAAGTGTCACAACGAAGCATAGAAGAGCAGCATAGTGTCGACCCTGCCTCGGTCAATGCCGTGCAACAATGTGTTCGTGGGAATTACGATTTGGTCGCCGAAAGCCAGTTGACATTTGTTGGAAATCGGAAGTGAGAACACTGTGGTGAATGAAAGTAATTTCTCATGGCAATGAGAGTTCGTCTAAAGTAGAAATTTGTAGAGTAATAAGGCAGGAAGTAAGCAGAAAAGGTTGTTCAGCTGGAATTTAATTAAAACTTTCCCCGACACGTGTTTGCAGTTGGACAGTACGTGCAAGCAGTTAGCAAACAAAGTGATGGACAAACGAATAGTTGGTGAATGTGATGCGTGAAAATTAAAATGCGATTCGTATTGAAATGGTTTAATGAGAACGCAGTTTCTTGACTTACGGAGCTTATAACGAGTCTTTAACGGACAGGTGCTGCTGCTGCAGAGCCTCACATTGACTCAAAAGTTAACATACTTTATCAGCGGTTTAAGCGTCCAGTGTAAAATTTAAAAAATCGACTTTTTCATATTTCTATAGGTTATACCTTTAAATATACGGTACTAAGATTTTAAATGAATATTTCGAATATTTTTGAGCTTGCCTTCTAAAGAGCAACCGCTCAGTTCCATTAGCTTCATCTTTAAACGGGTTTTCTCAACACTACATATTTCAAATTTGCTTGAGTGATTACACGGAGTCAAATGATCCGATCACTCTCAAATTTTTGCTGCATGTTCTGTATACAGTTTTCCATACAATGATTTAATATTTGTTTTAAACTGACCAAAAATTTTACTCGACCGAAATTTTGGGTAAGACTCAACTTTTTTTTAAACTTAAATGTTGTAAATTTTTTTAGGTATCATTCACGGATGAAGGTCGAAATTACTTGTAGTGTATGACCTTATTTTTGGCATCGCTGGAGATTGCGGGTAGTTCGTTAATATTTAATATTTGTCTACATTTTTCTCTAGACTCAATTTCACTTATTACTTTAAGCTAATAACTCTATTATAACTTCTAAAGAAAATCAAGGTACGATATCTAACTTCAAATATTTTTAAAATCAAATGAGATCAAGACTAGTCTCGATATCCCAAAGGTACAGAGGAGTGT